AGAGAGAGATGGAATACCGTATAGCTAGAAAATTTTGTGGAGTAAAATTTTGGTAAATTGAAGTCCATTCGCCAAATTTTTAGTCTTCAGTTTGATAGGGTTCCATAGAAACATGCACAGAGTTAAAATTTTGCTTAAATTTTAACACTCCAAATTTTCTAGCTATACAGTATAAGGTGCTTTTATGTAAATCGCATTTTCTGTATTATTTTAGTCATTTTTGTCTTCAAAAGATCCTACAAATGATTTCCTTGATAAAGCAAAAATTCATCTACATGTTCCTGAGGTTGGTAATACTACTACTATTATTATTATCAATTAATTATTATTATTGTTATTATTAATTAAAGGGTGCTACCCCAAAGGACGGTCCCTCAGCAGGTGTCACTATAGTCTCTGCCCTCCTCTCACTGGCTATGGATCGTCCAATACGTCAGAATGTTCCCATGACTGGGGAACTGTCTCTCACTGGAAAAGTATGAACATGTACTTCTACCTAACTCACAACATGTACATGTATGATAGTACAGTGAATTGACATTTGTATAAGCTGTGTAATGTATGCAATATATGTTGCATAGTCTTTTCTTTTGTTGGAATTAATGATGTTTTGGAAAAAACAATGGGCTATAGTACAGGGAAAGTTTCTGAAATTTGCTCAATTTTTTAAATGGCCCTAACTCAAAAATTTAACCCTGAAATTGGCTCAAACTTTCTACATAGCATTAGTACATCAATATATATCAGAAAATATAATAAAAATTTGGGGTGATTTTAGAGCTATTTTTAAAAACCATGGGCTATAGTGCATTTTTAACGACCTGGGGGCGAAGCCCCCAGGTCGTTCCTATAATTGAATTCACCATCGCGCCTATATATATATATATATTTATATTTATTTGTATGTCCACACTTACATTTCTTCTATACACGTTGTATTGGAGAAATAACAAGCCTTAGCAACCACCCGCCCACGCTCCTTTACGTGAGTGGGTGTGGTTACGGAAACAAAATGGCGGCTTACACATGGGACAAAGTTAAAAGCTTTCTAACAGCAAGAGAACATAGAGATACTGTCTAAAGACTTCTCTAGAAGCATTTGAAGGTAGAGAGAGCCTCTATAAGTCTTAGGAATGACCAAGTTGTACTTGCAAGGTGGTGAAATCAATTATAGGACTATTTTTTACCCTGTTACGCTTGTTATTACATGATCCTCTTGTCCCACAGAGAGTCATTGGCTCAGATCATTGAGGCTGGTAAAAGAGTTATAGATGATCCTACACATCTTGCTGATTTTGGAGCTGCACTGACCAGTGGAGAATCACATCAAATTCAAGCAGTTCTTGAATGTCCAGACGTAATCACTTCAAGTCCACTGTGGCAGGAGAACTGGAATAAAATTGTTGACTTATTTAATTTTGATTTTTAATAATTATATTAAAAATTTATTAAAAATGTCAAATAGAAAACTCAATGCTATTGTTTCATAATAAAAGTACATCAAAATACAATAACAACAACAACAACAATAATAATAATAATAATAATATTCATAATAACAAATTAAGTGTAAGTACAAAATAAAGGTACATGTGTACATGCTATAATAAAACAATTTATTAATTAAGGAAGAAAGGGAAGACTAACAAAAGAAAGCAAAGAGTAGCTCCAGTGATACATGTTAATGGAGAATATATTAAAGAAGAAGGATTGGTGATATTGGTAACCATTGGGGTGTACGTGTGGGTATATG